CGCTCACTGGCTGAGCGTGGTGCTGACAACACCAAGCCAAGGGTTGAGATCCCCTTACCGGTCATCTTTTGAAAAAATAAAAAAAAAATAAAAAAAAAATAAAAAGGTGGAATCTTTCTCAAAAAACTAAAAATGGAATTACTATAAGATCCAGCAATCCCACTTCTGGGTATGTATCCAAAGGAATTGTATTGGTATGTCAAAGAGATATCTGTACTCCTATGTTCATTTCAGCATTTTTCACAATAGCCAAGCTATGGAAGCAACAAAAGTGTCTATTAATGGAGGAATGGAAAAAGAAAATGTGATATATATACATGATTGAATACTATACAGCCTTAAAAAAAGGAAATTCTGTCATTTGTGACAACATGGATGGAACTGGAGGGCATTAAGCTAAGTGAAATAAGACTGGCACAGCAAGACAAATACTGTATGATTTCACTTATATGTGGAATCTAATAAAAAAGTTGATCTCATGAAAACAGAGAATAGAAAGGTGGTTACCATAGGTTGGGTGGTGGGGGTGGGATGTGGAGAGACGGGGAAAGGGCAGATGTTGATCAGAGGGAACAATGTCTCAGACTGGAGGAATAAGTTTTAGTGATCTATTGTACTGCATGGTGACCACAGTTAATAATAGTATATTATTTATATTTTTAAATTGTTAAAATAGATTTTTAACGTTCACACCATAAAACATAAGTTGGTGAGGTGATGAATATGTTAAATAACCTGATTGACTTTTTCTACCATGTATGCATAGATCAAAACATCATATTGTAGGGCCAGCCTGTGGGTTACTTGGGAGTGTGTGGTGCTGATAACACCAAGGTCACGGGTTCGGATCCCTATATAGGGATGGCCAGTTAGCTCACTTGGGAGAGCATGGTGCTGACAACACCAAATCAAGGGTTAAGATCCCCTTACTGGTCATCTTTTAAAAAAACAAAAAACTGGGGCCGGCCAGGTGGCGCACTGCTACAGTGCGCTGCTTGGGAGCGCAGCGGCGCTCCCGCCGAGGGTTCGGATCCCACATACAGACCGGCCGCTCACTGGCTGAGCGAGGTGCGGGCGCAACACCGAGGGTTGCGATACCGTTGCCGGTCCTGGTCAGGTACGGGCGCGACACTGAGGGTTGCGATCCGTTGCCGGTCACGAAAAAAGACAAAAAAAAGGAAAAAATAAAATAAAATAAAAATAAAAAAACAAAAAACAAAACATCATATTGTACCCCCCCAAAATACGGAATTATTATTTGTCAAAAATAAATAAAGGGCCGGCCCGTGGCTCACTCGGTAGAGTGCGGTGCTAATAGCACCAAGGCCCCGGGTTCGGATCCCACATAGGGATGGCCGGTTTGCTCACTGGCTGAGCGTGGTGCTGACAACACCAAGTCAAGGGTTAAGATCCCCTTACCGGTCATCTTTAAAAAAAATAAATAAATAAAATAAATAAATAAATAAATAGCCTGGCTGGTTAGCTCAGTTGGTTAGAGCGCACCCTTGTAACAACATGGTCAAGGGTTTGGTTCCCAGTACCACCAGATGCCAATAAATAAATAAAAAGTTTTTTTTTAAAGGTGAACTCCAAGGCACAAGAAGATTAAGCAACTTGCCCATGTTCAACTGCTAGCATGTGGCAAAACCAGGATACGCATACAGGCAAGCTGACTCCAGAGAGTGTGCTTTTAACTGTTATAGTATATTGCCTCCCTTCCCACAGTATATATATCCACTATGGTTTCTTTTTTCTTTTTCTTTCTTTTTTTTTGTACCTGCCTGGTACAGGGATCCGAACCCTTGACTTGGGTGTTATAACACCATGCTGTAACCAACTGAGTTAACTGGCCAGCCTCACTATATTGTTTCTTCCCTAAAGAAAAAGAGTTTAAAAAAAGAAAAAAAGAATAAAAAAAGTTTTGAATTCACAAACATTTTTTACCTTAGGAAAGAACATACATGAAATTAAAGGGCAAAGGACAGATCGGGAAAACATATTTACACCTGACAGATAAAGGGGTTAGTATAAAGGATATAGCACCTTAGCTACCAAGTCAGCAGACTTTGGAGCTGGCAGACCATCATCCAAATCTTAGCTTCATCACTCACTACTTACCTTGAAAACGTTACTTAATTGCTCTTTGCTCTAGGTTTCTCATCTGGAAAAGGGCATAATAATAATACTTCATAGAGTTGTTGAGAAGATAGCCAAAGGACAAAATTAGAACAAATTTAAAGATCTCAGTTGACATTATTGTGATTGTAGAATCAGGCAACAGCTCGTTCCATAAAATAGAATAAGTGTTCTAATGAGCCAGGCAGAGAAGTTTGGTTTTATAGACAGAAAAGGCTGAATAAAGTAGATAAAAAGAACAAAAAGACTGGTTATTTCAAAGTTACTTACCAAAACCAAAACCAAAACAAAAACAGAACAAAGTTACTTTCCTTGTAAGGTGGGGACGGGGAGACAGAAAAATAAGAAAATTGGTTATTTAACAACAGCCTACTTGTTGTATGCTTGTTTTTTGTGTTTTTTGTTGTTTGTTTGTTTTTTGGCAGCTGGCCTGTACAGATATAGAACTCTTTGTGTAAGGATTAAAGCAGAGGGAACTTCATTATCATGCCTATGGAAGATTTTAACTGGCCTGTTTGGGAATTAGCTGTTCTCTCTCTCTCCTGATTTCTCAAAAGGTCAGAACACAACTTAGTTTAGGTTTGGAAATTAACAGGAGTGACTCTATTTTGATTTTTAGTCTGGTCTTTTGTGGCCTAGTGCAGGAACTTAGCCCAAAATCAATAGCCCCCTATAATTTGTATTTAACAAGATAATAAATGTACAGTACTTAGCACAGTGCTTTGCACTAAGAGGGTGAACAGCAATTACCAAGCTTTTATTATTTTAGTGCTATGCAAAAGTTGTTACAAATCCATAAGAAAAATGAAACCAATAGAAAAATAGGCAAAAATACACAAAGCATAGTTCATAAAGAAGAAAAACAATGGCTCAATATAGTAAATAAACAAAGCAATGCAAATCAAAATAAAAATCCTACCATTTTAGCTCACTTGGGAGAATGTGGTGCTGGTAACATCAAGGTCACGGGTTCAGATCCCGGTACCTGCCAGCTGCCAAAAAAATAAAAAAAGATTTTTAAGTGCTAATTCTCAAGGGGAGAGTTTAGGAAATAGGTACTAGATGAAGTGAAAATGGATTCAGGGCAACGCGGGAGTTTGATAAAGTGATTTTAGGAAGTTATTCTAAGGAAATAATAAAATAGGTAACACAAGGGTATATGCGTGGGGATGTTTATTGCAACATTCGAAAATTTTTAAACAATTTTAATGTCCATCTTTTTTTTTCTTTTTTCACATTATATTGTATTGGATGTAGAGGGTTTATAAAATAGAAATTATTAAAGTTCCCTACAATGCGATCCAATACAATGCGCCAATAAAAATAATAGTTTAAATTAGTGTTTCCCCCTTGTTGCAGTCACCATCATTTCCTTCTTGGATTACTCCCTTCCTCCAGTCTCCTTCCCAACCCATTTTCTACACAGCTGCCAAAGGCAAATCTAATCAGTCACACCCTTGCTTAACGTCCTCAGGGCTGCTCAGGCTGCTCTTTGCAAAATCCTAAAACTGGTCTGTGAGGCTGGAATCTCATTTCTTTACACTCCAGTAACAGGGAACTCAACATGCCTCTCAGTTGGCCTTTGCGCCCAGTTATTCTCCTTAAGAATTTAGCATTTCATGTATCCCCCATTGGTTAGAATTACCCTCTCTGTCCTCTGACAATACTGGTATCTTCACTTCTCCTTCGTAGCTCTTACACAAATGTTATTAAATGTTGCTTATGCGATTATTTGTTTAATATATATCACTTCCATTAGAGTTTAAATCCCATGAGGGCAAAAATGATCACTGCTTTAGGCACGATTTTATCCATTGCACCTAGTATGGTGCTTGACATAGGTGCTCGATGCATATTTGCTAAATGAATAAATGAATGATTAAGTGAAAGGGAGGCTACAAAATATATCGTGTGAGTGAAAGGGGGACCAAAGACTCTTGAGAGCATGCGGGAACTTGCAGCGAAGAGCAGAGCCGGGTGGAAGTGCCGGCCTCTGGGGTTCCCGCCCCTTCAGCTCTCTGGGCAGGAAGGAGCTCCAGGGGACGTTTCCTGCGGACCACCCAGGGCGCACGGACGCGGAGGGGTAGGACGTGGGCTGCCGGGAGGCTGAGCTGGGGTGTTAGGCTCAGTGTTTGGGGGAGACAGGCCTCGAGGTGAGCACAGCGCGCGGGCAGGGGCGAAACGCCACCGCCGGGAAAAAAAGAGTTTCCCAGCCAGGGCAGCGTCAGGGCGCGCCCTAGAGGACAACGCGGGGAAGAGTTGCGAGGGCGGGACCCCGCGCGTGCGACTTCGCTGGGCAACCGGCCACCGCACTGTCTCACATTGTACCTTGATTCTGAGACAACTGGGACCGTGCTTGAGGGTGTGACTGCCCAATGAGGGGGCTGATCCCCGCACACGGTCTCCCAAGGGGTACGTGTTCTTAAGGACTGCATCTTAGGGGGCGGCAATTGGAGGCAGGCTGGGGCATGGTAGTGATGCTGCTTCCTCTTCAGTCAAAATCCTGACCTGGATAGTTTGTCAGCCATCCTAAGGCTTTGTTTTCTATGATGTGAAACTCTTTTGCCCACTTGGTTTCAGAAGTGGACTCCCATCCTCCAAATCACCACATCCATCCCAGAAGACGCCAGGAGGGCCTTTTTTCTGTTTTTTTTTTTCCCCTTTCTAGGCAGTGGAGGCCTTGTTTCCCTGCTCGGCTCCAGATTTAATGTTTGTCACTGAGAAGCCCCACCACTCCCACTTGACACACATCTCCTTGGCCCTGACCAGGGCACTAAAGTCCTGGAAGAGACTTCCCTAGCTCTTTCAGGACAGAGCAGTTTCTCTCCATGCCCAGCACACAGCCCAATAAACACATTCTGAAGGAATGAATTCACCCATTTATTCGACTTTCCCATGTGCAAGACCTTCTTTTGATGGAGTGACAGGGCCTCCATGATGGAGGGGCAGGGACATGCAGAGCCCTAGGATCAGGTTTAAAGTCTAGGCTTTATTTTAGAGTTGGGTAAAGGGGAGCTATTGAAGATTTCAGGGAGGACATAACTGGCCTTAACCTGTGCAAAATCTTGAGGGTGAAACAGCAGGCTGGAGGTGATACAGAAGTGATGAGTATGGGGTGGTGGTGGTATTAAAGATTTAATGTTGAATAGATGGGGGCTCTGAGCCAGGGAAGGCGGTGGCACTTTGTCAGCTGAGACTGAGCTGGAGAAAGGCCAGAGCTCACACCTTGGGTATAGAGGGAGAGGAAGAAAAGACCAGTATGTGAGGGAGGGGGTGCTCAGCTGTTGCTTCATTCTTTGGGCAAGTGACCAAGGAGGATGACCATTACTCCCTATCCATCCCTGGTTCCTTGACTGGGAAAGAGCCTCCACCATCCTCTGTAGTTTTGTTTTGAGTCATAGCTAACTACAGAGAAAGAAGAAGAAAAAAGGTATAGCCAAAAATGGAAGCAAAGTCCGTGGGGTGGGGAGCTAGATGGCCCCCTTCAAGTAGCTCAGGCCTGGCAGCTTGTGCTGGGCTTGTGGAAGATTCCCTCTCAAAGGCTAAATACCTGGGGAAACAAGCCCCAGCACGAGTAGGGCTTGTGGGTCTGCGGGGCTGGGCCCCCCAGTGTCAACACACCACTTCCACTGCAACAGCACATAGAAGCAGGGGGCACTGGGTTTTTCTGAACATGACACCTCACAACAGGAGCACAGACCCGAAATGGCACAGGGATGGTGTCTTCGCCCTGGGCTAGGCTGAGTGGCATAGGCGCAGTCCTGCCCAGCTGCAGCTGCTCCCAGCACTGCCTCATTCCTCCCAAGGGCTCATGTCAGTGTCGATGGCCACACAGTTGTAGGCGGCGTATCGGAGCTTCTCCTCGCACACCTTGGCGCTGTGGGGGACAGGGACTTGTTCAGGTCCCTCCATCATTACCAGCGGTGATAGGTTTGTGCACCTCAGTGCCGAAGTCCTCCCCCACTGAGATAGCACCTGCCCCCCTCCCTCCGCACCACCCCCCAACCAGGCTCGAGCCTACGAAAAAACCCACCTGGCATAGTGTGGTAGGAAGAGAGTGCTGGAGCAGGTGGAAGACTCAGGCAGCGCGTCTGTGGTCTCATAGCTGGGGGTGTTGAGCCACAGATCAGGAAGACTTGTGGGGGTACGTGTGAGTGTGGGGGGAGGGAGGACAGAAGGCTGGCCACGGCACCTTCAGACCCCCACCCCCCGCACTCACCCCAGCTTGTCGGGGTAGATGTAGATCCGTGCTGGTAGGCGGCTGCGGCCAGTGACAAAACGCAGGAAGCGGCTCCGGTCCTCTGGATGGAGAAGGAAATCAGTGGTGGGCAAGGTTTTACAACTTCTACCCTGCTCTGTATCCCATGAGCGGAGTTCAAACCCAGCCATCCTCCACTGACCGTTGGTGAAGTTGTTCAGTGCCTCCCAGAAATACTGCACCCGTGTGTCAGATGGCTCGAAGTCCTCAAACCGGGCTGGTGGGGTCAAGGCCAGTTCATTCTTAGGTCTCACCCTGCCCACTCCTTAAGCCCCACCCCCGCACTGTGCTGCCAGCCCTGCCCCACCATCTGGAACTCACTGAGCTTGCGTAGAGCATCCACGGTGACCTCCGGGTCCCCACACACCTTTTTCTCCAACTCTTGCCAGGTCAATAAGTCCAGCACAGCCTGTGGCACCACCTTCAGCAGACCTGCCTGCATGGCAGCCACCTGCAAAGGACGAAAAAGGCCTGGCTGGAGAAGAGGCAACAATTCTCAGCTCACCTTGGGGGCATCTCTGTACCCCACTAATCAGCAGGAATGTGGGGCAGAGGAATGGTGGGGACCAGAGTTCTTAGGACTGGATAATGGTGACCTGACTCTGGCTACTAGCAGCTGGGGCTTTAGAGGGTCCAAAGGTCTCTGTTCTACTGGCCTCTGGGTAGTACCTGCTCCTTGCTCTCCTCTAGCCGTGCTTTCTGCACCAGTTGGATGAAACGAGAACGGTCCTCATATCCTACTATGATGCCTGTGCCCCCTGGGATCAGCTCTACCACCTGTTGGTCACTCAGTACAGTGGTGAATGTTAGCTCCTTCCCAAACTTGAACTCAAATGTCTCCTTGTCCATTCCTTCCATCACTTCCAGGAGCTTCACCTGGGGGTTGGAGAGAGGCAGGGAGGTCGACTTTTCATTGTGGACAGTCCTTGTCTTTCCTCAAGATGCTCACAGGAAGCAGCAGAGACAGCCAGGCAAGGCAGTCCCCACTCAGGCAATGAGGAGTGAAGAGGTCAGTACAAGGATTGTGAAAGCACCAAGACAACACCTAACCAGCCCTGGAGGCCAGGGAAGATGTCCTGCAAGAAATGGCATCTAAGCTGAGACCCAAATGATGGCTAAGCCTTAGGGAAGTCAGGAGAAAGAACATCATGGAGAAAACAAAAGGCCTGAGGAATCTATCTGGCTGGAGCCTGAATGTGAACAAAGTGGCTAGAGATACAAGGCTCATATAAGGCCTTTACAGATTCTGCATTTTATCTTAAGCCCAGGGCAGAGTCTTCAAAGGAGTTAAACAAGGAGAGTGAAATGAATTACTCTGGCTGCCTGGAGATCAGATGGGAAAGAATAGAGACAGGGATGCCAACTTTTGCAGTAAGTTGTGGTTAGGTCAGAAAAGGTGGCCTGAACGAGGCGGATAACAGTAAGGTAAGAAAAGCGGACAGACGGAGACTTGACAGAGGTGGAGGGTAAGAGAGGAGAGGTGGAGGGTAAGAGAGGAGGAGGAATGAAGGATGACCCTGAAGGCTTTGTCACAGGGATGGATGGGTGGTGGTGCCATTCTGACACAGGGAGCCCTATGGGGCAGCAGGCTGGGGAGAAGATGAAGCATGTACTGAGCTTGAGGTGCCATCTTGGGGCAGATATCCAGGATGCAGATGCATAAGTGGTGCCAGGCTTAGGAGAGAGACTGGGGCTGGGGGTCGGAATTTTAGGGGTCACCAGAATAGAGACAGTAGTTGAAGCCCTGGGAGTAGATGGGATTGGAGAGAGAGCATGTGCGTGGTAAAGGAAGTACAGGACAGCCTTGGGGAGCACCAACCTTTGAGGGCTGGGCAGAAGCAACACTGGCACTGGCCCTACTCACCAGCACAGAGTCCACAGCTGGGAAGTCCTTGCTCCAGCTCACCTCCTCTCCAGAGAGCTGCTTCCACACAAAACCAGGCAGAGCCAGGACCTGTGTGACAAAACACTCACTATTGTCTTCTCACTCTGGGCTGCCAAGGTTTGGCTGGCCCATCCTTCCAGGGACCAGGGCTGATCTGAAGCAGGTATGGATTAAGCTACTCACCAGGAACTCCTTACCCCGGAGGGCAGCTCCCATCAGCTGTCCAATCCACTCATACTTGGCAAAGTCTCGGCAGGAGGGGTTGGGCACATACATGTCCCGGGCCTCACCAGTGCCATTGCCCTGCCCCAGAGACAGAGCTGTCAGCAGCACGGCATGGGATGAACTTTCCTGCCCCAAGCTCCCCAAAGACTTTCCTGAACATCTTCCACCTGGGGACTCTGAATGATCCCTCCAAATGTACAACGGCTCTTCCTCTCCCTGTCTGCCCTGAGGCTGCCCCGAGCAACTCAGTCCTTCCTCTTCCCCCTCTCTAGCTCATCTGGCACCAGGGAGGTTTGAAGAGACAGCATAGCAGAAACAACTTGGGAGGGGTAAGTGGAAAGTTACCTGGTTGGCTGTGCGCACAAAGAAGGGCAGAGGCACAGGGGTGTCAGCAGAGCTAGGGCACAGCTCTTCTGACATATCTGCCAGGCTATCCCGGAAACCACCCCCTGAAATGACAGATGCTCTCAGCTGGGCACTCAAGAGCTCAGCCCCCATAACGGAGTAATAAGCAGGTCCCCAATCTTCATTAGTTGGTGACCTCAGCAGCCTTTACCACTGTAATAGGGCAATAAGCAGGACCCTTGTCATTCTCCCTCAGGGCCTCACCTTGGTCAATGATTCCTTCTGCAATGAATTTACACTCCCACCACTGGTCATAGCGCATGGGCCACCTGTAAGTAGGAGTGGATCTCTATCAACACGCTAGGCCAGGGCTCAGACAATTCAGCAGTCCAGAGACCAGCAAGGAGAAGGGCTACACAGCAGTAATGGTGAAGAGTGCCAGGAGCAACATGTGCCCTGAGCAAGTCCCTCACTCTCATGCCATACCTGTAGTCCAGGGGTTTTTCATACTTGTCAGAAGGCTTGAGACCTTCATAAACCTGGGGGCAGAGAGGAAGGGAGGGGAGCTATAGGGAAGTCTGTGTCAAGACTTGGCCCCACTCTTGCCCAAAGACCTTGCTTGGGTCACTCTTAGCCCAGCCCCCTAAGGCCCTTTACTGACCCTCCCTCAGTCCGACCCCAGTAGTCCAGACCTGGGTGAAGACCGCATTCTTGCAGGCAGGGTCCCGAGAGGGACAGGCACGGTGTTCCATGGCAAGGCGCCGGTTGATGTACAAGCGTGGCATGAAGCTGGGCTTGCTGCTCTCTGAGTCACGCAGGCACTGAGCCACCAGGCCAGGGCGCTGGCGTGAAAGCAGCAGGAACTGCTTCACTTGCTGTTGAGGAGAGGTGGCCAGAGCAGGACCAGGGGACAGTCAGCCTCTGTTCAGCCCCCTGGAACCTTTCTCTATGCCTGGACCAATTTTACTATACCAGTCCAAGCCTAGTCCATCCCCTATCCTTGCTTCTAGGCCCTTTCTTAGTCCAGCCACCAAGGGGAGCTTTCTAAAACAACAAATCTAACATTGTCATTACCTTACAACCTTTCCAATGGCTCCACGTACCTGGGACAAAGCCCCTATTCCACAGCCTGGCCCACAGGGCTCTCTACTACCAGGGCCTGCTTCCTGCCCACCCTCTCCCAGCCTCATTCCAGTGTCACACTTACTCCTACCTGCTTGTTTTTCTCAAATCATCTTCAGCTGCTGATAACTGCAAGTATGCAGGTTTCACGAAAACTGCCCCACTCATGCTGTCACCTCTCCTCCCTAGCCCTTGTGCATTCCACACATTCATCTGAGGAAAAGCCCCCCAACACTAAATTTTGAACATTTCTGTCTGACTTTCTTCCTGTATTCCTAGAGCCCAGCAAAAATCCAGCAAAAGAGTAGGTTTTAGGAAGTCTCTGCTGAAGAACAACTGCATCAGCAGGAAGGGGGAGCACATTGCCCCAGCACTGGGTGGGTTAGGCTCACCTTAATCTCACTGAAGGTGCCCAGTGTGTGGTCCCAGGCAGGTACCAGGTGGTGCAGGACACTGTCTAGGATCTTGATGAATCTGGGGTACATGGACAAAGAACTGCAGCTAAAGAGTTTGGCATAGATGTAAGACCCCCAACTCTCCAGCACACAGGGACAGGAGAAGGCAGGGCCCAGGAGCTGCTCTGACTCTTGAAGCAGAACAGCTTATGCTCTAAGACCTTGGAGACCTCCTCCACTCAGACAAGTCTCAGGGTAGGGGAAAGGAAAGGGCCTGCAGGCCCAGGACCACAGCCACCTCTGCAGGAGGACAGCTCTGCGGTACAGTACTTCTGGGTCAGTGCCTTCCAGGCGTGGATACCGCACCAGACTGGTTGGCTGGAACAGGTCTGCATTCAACCCTAGTTCCCGTTGTCTAGATGACTTGATCTTGACCCCTCGAAGACGAACATCAATCCCGTCATCTGGGGGAAGGTCAGAGTGAGGTCACTTACTGCACCTGCTGCCGTCTTGGCTCCCAGACTTGGGAATGGCTCCTTAATGCTCAGCTTTTTGTCACACTTAGCCCCTAGAAACGTGGGACCTTTGGGATCCCTTTTATCACCTGATTTTGATTTATATTTTCTTTGCTAGTTCCTCTGTCCACCACTATGTTGGGATGCCTGAGGGTCACAACTCAGTTCCTCTTCCAGGTGAGCCCAACCACCTCTAAGGCTTTAAGGCGGACTTATGCCCAGCACTTCCCACCTGGCTCAGGCTCCAAAGCTTTAAATCCTGGAGTTAGTTCAGTCATTACTATCACCCCAACTCCAAGCCCATCTGCTTCTCTCCACTCTCACTGTCAGCTTGCCCCAATCTACACACTGGGGCTTCCTATAACATTAAGCCCACCTCGACACTCGACGATGCGGATCTCGATGATTGGGAGGTGGACGGTCATGTCCTCCAGGACACAGACATCACCAATCAGGGTCCTGAAAAGATCGGTGTAAGGCACTTCAGATAACCCCTGCCTTAGGCCTTCAGGAATTACTGGGGTCCCACCCAAATTAGGCTTCCAAGCTGGGAAAGTCCCATTGCTAGGGTCATGCCCCACCTCCCACCCCAGGCTAGCTTGCTCACTCGTCAATGCTCACGTCACTCAGCTTCTTCAGGTTGTCTCCTTCGCCCCCATAGACCACCACCCGCTTAGGCATAAAATTGTCATCAGTGGTATCCACAGTGAGTAGCAGCTTCCTGAGGGGTCAGAGCATGCACATGGGTCTCTGTGCACTCATGGGCACATGGCTAACCCACCTTGTCCTGCCTAGAGCCTACTCACTTGACAATGGTGCCCTTCTTCATAGTAAGCCGTACCCAGTGCTGGCACTGGGACCCATCACTCTCCCAGTAGGTATCTGCATTGCTATCTGTCAGGCAGGAGACATTGAAGTCCTCCTGGGGAAGGGCAGAGAGGTAGAGTCAGTAGTTACCTTCACAACCTGCACTGGGCATGTGCTTTGGGCCAGGGACCAGAAGAGAGAAAGCATAGTGGAGTTGCGCTAAAAGGCCAACTGGTATGGAGTGTGGTAGGGGTGTCTAGGGGTTTCTATAGGACTTTCAGGATGGGGAGCTGGACTGAGTGTGGCCTGTGGGGATTCTGGTTTTGCCCCGGCTTGTAGGTGGGGGTTATGGATCTATCCTTGAGGGGCGTGACTACATCTTGTTTGGGGTGGGAAGAGTCCCAGCACCCACCGTGTAGGAGGAAACGTCTATGCTCTCCACGTACTGCTTCACGCTACCCAGGTTCTCATCCTCCTTGCCCAGGTGGTCATACAAGAAGTGGATCAGGTCCTCGTCGCATTCGTAGGTCCATGTCGGGGGCACATAGCTAAGCAACCCCAAGCCCCTAATTAGGTCGGGCCCAGACCGTTTGCTCCTTCCTCCCAATCCCATTCCAGCTCACTCACAGTAGCCTTTGCACAGCTTCTGTGTATGCCTCTGCCGGCTGAGGCCTCGATCCCAGGCGATGCGAGTAAGTCAGGTCCACCACCTGTTCCCATCTGTGGGCACAGAGTAGGGGGTGAGATAGGGAGACATCAGCAAGAAGGACACCAACCCCCAGGCCCTGCAGCCACCTCCAGAGCTCTATCTCCACCGCTCCAGAAGCCCCACCCAACCGCCTTGAGGTCCCGCCCCTTCCTGCTCTTAACTCTGCCTCCACTCCAATATCCCAGCCCCCCAGGCTGTGCCAGACGTGTTTCCACACCCTCCAAGCCCTGCCATCTGGAGCAAGCTCCGCCCCTTCAAGTGCAGGACCTGAGCACCGGCCGGTAGTCCACACCGAAGAGCTGCTGCTGCCGCTGGAGGTGGTCGGGAGTGTCAATGGGTACGAGGCGGGCCCCGCCCTCTGCCGGGCGGCATACCAGCAGCCAGCCTTCGTTCAGACCGCAGTCGCCCAGGTGCTCTGCCAGCTGCTCCTGCCCGGACGCGCCAGATAGGGACAGCCTTCAGGGAATTGCCCAGCGGCCGGTCCTGCCCAGCCCGGAGCAAAGGGCACCGAACGCAATGCCAGCTCAATATGGGGGAGGAAAGGGGAACAGTCAGGGGCTTCCCTAGCCCCGGGGGTCTTCTGCGGAGCCCCAAGCAGGCCAGAGCGCACCTTGGTTAGCTTCACCCAGAGCCCGTGGCCGTTGCACAGCTCCTCGCCCGTGGTGCGCACGCAGGCTCCGCGCCGGAGCTCGATGCTGTCGCGGGCGGCGCGGAGGGGCCCGGAGCCCGTACCGGAGGCCGGGCCCGCGGCGCCCACACGCAGCCCCAGGCCCTCCGCCTCCCACACCGGCAGCAACACGCGCGACGGTCCCGACGGGTCCTTGTAAAGCTTGTAGAGCACCTCTCGAGGCACGAAAGCCAACGCCGCAGGCAGCGGCTGCCCGGCGCGGAGGTTACGCGCTGCTTCAGCCAAGAAGCGCACGCGGCCCAGCAGCTGCCGCGGAGACTCCAGCGCCGCGCCCGGGCCAGGGCCCGCCATGGTGAAGTGGCTGAGGGGAGCCCGGGGGCGATCCAGCCCCGGGAGCAGCAGTCGCGACCGCACACAGAGCTTCCCACTACGTCCTGCCCCGCCTTCGGCCAGCCTTCGCCGTATGTTCTGGACTAAGCGCACCCTCCACTCCCGCCGTATTGCCCTGTGTACCCGGATACTCAACATGTTACCTATCTCTGAGCCCCCCATCCAGCTAACCAGACCCAGGCAGGGCCAGTGGTTTCTACCTGATCAACCTCCGTCTCTTTACTCCAATTGCTACTACCATCTTATCTCTACTGCTACTACCCTCGTTCAAGACACCATCCTGTCTAGCCTAGATCACTGCAACAGCTATTTTTCTTGTCCTACGGCCTTCTGTTTTTGCTTCTTCCTCCCCGAGTCATACTACAACCAGAGAAATATTAAAACCTACTGGACTCCCCATCCTAGGGCCAGTGTGACGAAAATGTTTGGGAAAATGACTCTTCCCCCTGCCACTTGACAAGATCTTGAGACCTTCATGCTTGATCCTTGTACTCCTAATCCCAGGTCACTGGTGATTATTTTCCACTTTAATGTGATTGCTGAGTTGTTTCCCCATCAGTCTGTAGCTTTTTAAAGGCAGAGGCTGTCTTGCTCAGCACTCTAACCTCCGCACCTACTATAGTGTCTCGCTTGGTACGTAATATAAATATATAACGACTTCGGTTCCCTGTACAGCCTGGTTCCATCATCCGCTGTATGCCTGGCCGGATAGATTGGAGAATGGGAGTGAGAGACTTGGGCCAAGCCTCCGGGATTGTAAGGCCGTCAGATAAGAACAAATTCCTCACGCCACCGTAAAATGGAGTTATAGCTGAGCGTTTGTTGCGTCGCTACAGCGGACTTTACGGTGAACAATGGTAGGGGTCCTACGGGCAGCAACAAGGGCAGCCCCAAGCTGTCAGTGGAGGCTGATCATGTGACCTTCAACATGGCGACGCCCTTGGTTCCCTCCAGGAAGGGGCGGAGCCCGGACTGGGGGCCGGCTCAGATTCAGGTTCGAGTGGGGAGTGCGCTCGCAGTTACAGACAGCTTACCATGGAGGCGGACGGGTTAGGGTGAGTTCTCCGCAGCACGCGCTGTGGCTAGAGGGGCTTTCGATCTGAGTCTTCCAGCTCAGGAATCTATCTCTATACCCTCCTTTCCCAGCCCTGGAAATCTCCCAACCTGAACCCCAGTCCCTTGGATCCTCCTACCTTGGATTCCTGAAACCTTCATCTTAGGGACCGCCTTACTGGACTGCATCCCCCAGGTCTTCATTCAAGGGATGCCCCAGGATTTTCACCTAGGATCTCTATTATGGGACAATCTAGTCTGATCCCTCTTTATTCCCCAGCCTGGGGATCTCCCAGCCCCGGAATGAGCCCACTGACACCCCCGTTCCTGAGATTTGCTTGCCCGAAGACCCCAAATTATTCGTACTGGGCTTTTATCCCCTTCTCTCGAGCCCCTCCAGTTGCTTTGAATTTAGGAGAGGTGGGACTATGTGTAGGGAAGAGGCCCCAGCGCGGGCTCTTCTAGAGTCTTGTGCAACACCTGATAGGCAGAGAGGAGGTGAAGCGGGCGGGGAGGCAAGGCTTTGGAGCTGGCCTGGAGAAGGCAGATAGCGGTCCTGGACTGAATCCGCCTTAACAACTTGCGCTTTCCCCAACCCCCAGCCTAGCATACTGACACCTATCCCCACCCCCAATCTCATCGCCAGACCCCAGGGTTTTCCGGAGCTGAAGAATGACACGTTCCTCCGAGCAGCCTGGGGAGAGGAAACAGACTACACTCCCGTTTGGTGCATGCGGCAAGCAGGCCGCTACTTACCAGGTCAGGGTCATGGCCCGGAAGTCTAATAAAATCTAATAAAATTGTGGAGGGTGAAAAGTTTTTAAGGGGCAGGAGAGGGCTCTGGAGGGCCTCAAGGCCAAGCTCTGTCTTCCCTCTCCTTTCTGCAGAGTTTAGGGAAACTCGGGCTGCCCAGGACTTTTTCAACACCTGTCGCACTCCCGAGGTCTGCTGTGAACTAACTCTGCAGGTGAGGGGTCCACAAAAGTGGGAGGGATTTATGTCCTCAGCTTGCCACCTAGCAACCTATCTCCTATTCCCTACAGCCACTGCGCCGCTTCCCTTTGGATGCTGCCATCATCTTCTCCGACATCCTTGTTGTACCTCAGGTACCCACTCAAATCTGATCCTGGAATGTGTAAAAAAAGCTTCAAGGACCCCTTGGAAGCCCTTTTATCAGTCCAGTCAAAGTTCAAGATAAGTATTTATCTGTGTTTAAAAAGATCCGAGGTACCATTGAGCTAGCGTCAAACCAAACTCAAATTCCTGACCTTATTTTAGATGTCACTTTTAAAATTTCAGCTCCATTGAGCCCAACATTCTTCTCTGTTTTCTCTGTCAATGTCCCTCATTAACTTCAGAATTCAGTTTCAAGTACACCTTCCCAGGGAACCTTCAATGATCCACACCCTAGACCATGCTCCCTGTTCTGTGTCGTGCCCTCTTTACTCCTATTCATTATTTTTTTATTTCAGTTTATTGGACAAGAGAAATTTATAAGAGCTTTTGTTAACTATTTGTTTTGTGTGTTCTGTTTCTCAAATTAGTGTGTAAACGTTGAACGTTCTATTTTTTTTTTTTTTTTAAAAGATGACCGGTAAGGGGATCTTAACCCTTGACTTGGTGTTGTCAGCACCACGCTCACCCAGTGAGCAACCGGCCATCCCCATATGGGATCCGAACCCGTGGCCTTGGTGTCATCAGCACCACACTCTCCCGAGTGAGCCACAGGCCGGCCCTGAAAGTTGGAATTTGGCTGAGTTTTATTCTTTTCCTTTCCTCCTGGAATGGACTGAACAGAACCTTTCCTCCTGGAGTTCTGGGTTGGGAACCCAGATGTTTTCTTCCCATCCAGGCACTGGGCATGGAGGTGACCATGGTACCTGGCAAAGGACCCAGCTTCCCAGAGCCATTAAGAGAAGAGAGGGACCTAGAGCGCCTACGGGATCCAGCAGTGGTGGCCTCTGAGCTGGACTATGTATTCCAGGCCATCACCCTTACCCGACAACGGCTGGCTGGGCGTGTGCCACTGATTGGCTTTGCTGGTGCCCCGGTAATGTGGGACAGGGCAGGGACTGGGGCATGGGGAGATCACTCTGGCAGGTCTGGTGTAGACAAGGGAAGGAAGTGTCAGTCTGGCTTCTGCACCTGTGACATCTTCCTTCTGTCTTTCTGTAGTGGACTCTGATGACATATATGGTTGAGGGTGGAGGCTCAAGCACCATGGCTCAGGCCAAGAGCTGGCTCTACCAGAGACCTCAGGCCAGTCATCAGCTGCTTCGCATCCTCACTGATGCTCTGATCCCATATCTGGTAGGACAAGTGGCTGCTGGTGCCCAGGTGAGTCCTGAGGGAGAGACAAATAGGCTGGGGTTTGGTCTGTAAAGACTCAAAGCAATGGAGTCTCTTAAAACTGAGTGGGAAGAGGTCTTAATGCTAAACAGGAAAGAAGCTTGGCCTCCAATGATCTGGCTGGAGCAGCCAAGCCCACCCTGACTCTGGCAGGGGGCTTAATGCTCTGAGTGTTCAAAGACCAAAGCTAGAGTTGGAATCTAGAGGAGAAGGCAAAACTTTTTTGACTGGAACTGGGTTTATAGGCTCAGGCAGTATCAGGGGTTGAAGTCACTTGGGGGAAATTGATGCACATTCTGTATGCAGCTCCTGAGGTAACTCCTCTTTGTGTGTTATGTATTTCTTTTCACCACCACCCAACTGTAGGCATTGCAGGTCTTTGAGTCCCATGCAGGGCATCTTGGTCCACAGCTCTTCAGCAAGTTTGCACTGCCCTACCTCCGTGATGTGGCCAAGCGAGTAAAGGCTGGGCTGCAGGAGGCAGGTCTGGCACCAGTGCCCATGGTAAGGACTGGGATGAGCTGGTAAGGGTGGGCCTATGGAGCTTTCATGGCAAGTCCTGCTTGAACTGGAGTGACCACTGGGGGGCAGCAGAAGTGTAGCTAAGAAAGGTTAGTGGGCGTAAAGGCTCTCGGCAGCCTCAGGTCTGCTCTTTCCTCCAGATCGTCTTTGCTAAGGATGGGCATTTTGCCCTGGAAGAGCTGGCCCAGGCTGGCTATGAGGTGGTTGGGCTTGACTGGACAGTGGCCCCAAAGAAAGCCCGGTGAGTGATGGAGGACTGGGCCCTTGAGGTTGAGGTGGAGAGGGGCAGCTGCCATATGCACAGTCACCAGAACATGGCACTGGCTCTGCTTTCAGGGAGCGTGTGGGAAAGATGGTGACCTTGCAGGGCAACTTGGATCCCTGTGCCTTGTATGCATCCAAGGTAACCATGGCCTCTATGTGTGTGTGTCTGTCTCTGTGCACTCCTATGGCTATGGATATGGTTGTGTGTATTATTATGTGTGCATTTTTATGTGTTTGTCCCTCCTCTCTACTCCATACACACAATGTAAGCCCTAGGAGGGCAGAAAGTTTTGTTGTTCATTTGTGTTTTCTTAGTGCCTGGCCCATACTTGTCATCTTATTAATTCTGTTAAATCAATGATTGAATTAATAACACTTGAGTAGAAACATGTCTATGTATGTGTGTGTCACTATTATGTATAAGGAGAACAGAGGCTTGCTGCCCCCTCCTGTAGCCAGTGCCCTGTTGGTCCCTCAGGAGGAGATTGGGCGGCTGGTGCAGGAGATGCTGGATGACTTTGGGCCACAACGCTACATTGCCAACCTGGGCCATGGGCTTTACCCTGACATGGACCCAGAACATGTGGGGGCCTTTGTGGATGCTGTGCATAAACACTCACGTCTGCTTCAACAGAACTAAGCATATACCTTTCCCTTCAAGTACCACTAATACAGATGACTGTTTCCAGGAGAATAAAAATTCCAGAGTTGGAGTCTAGTATGTGGTTGAAAGATTTGTGCCTTTATCCTCAGTTCCTTAGCATCTGCTCCTTCCCTGGGGCCTCTCTCTGCATCTTCCCCCACAAGTCATGGGGCTCGGGTACCAGTGAATATGTACTGTAACACTTAATGTCAGGGTTCTCACTACCATCTTGCTCTCAGATAGGGTACAGCTTCCTAGCAGTTGGAGCTGTTACATTTGCAGAGAAAGGGGTATAGTACCCACAGCATACAAAGGCCAAACTGATAGTGCTTTGTTTCTGGGAAAGAAGGGAAGTATAGTTCAAAGAGGGGCACAGAAGTAGGACAGTTCAGAGAGGCCTGGGGAGGAAGATGGAATCTAGCGAGCAGGGAGAAGCTGAGGGACCTTCAGCTTTGACACCAAAAGATGGGATGACATAGACTCAGAGCTAGGTTGCTTAGGATCAGAGCCTTAGACTAGTCCAGCACCAGGCAAGAAGGCCTCTGAAGCTAAAAGGCCCTCTTGCACTCAGGGTTGCTCTGCATTCTTTTTCTGAGTATACCCTCTAATTTCCTCAGGATCTTGGTGTTTCTGCCAATCGTGGTAGCACCTGCTTCCTAGGACAAGGCCCTGAGGTGCCTGTGAGCTCTGGAGAGGGGTCTGGTGTGGCAGGAAATTCTTCATCTGTCTTCTACATCTCCTTGGACCATTAGGAACCCACTACACTGTAGGCCCGACCAGCTCCCTGTCCCAGCCAGGGCAATATAGAAGGGAGAGAAGTGCCTCATTTATTGAGGGAACACAATTTCTGCTTTCAGAAAAATGTTCTTTTCTGTGATCCATGATTTATTCATAGAAAAGCACTGTGAGTTGACATACTTGCTAAAAAAGAGCAATTGTGATACAGAAATGGGAGTGGCTTCTCTTTTTTACCAACCCATTGGGCTGAGACATTGTAGGGCCCCTTGGCTGGACAGTAAGACTTTGGTAGCCACAAACAGCAAATACAACTTACTGGTCAGTTTGGAATAAAAAAGGTGACATAAATAGTTTGTCAAAGAAAGGAAAATAAAGTAAAGCGGACAGAGAGGTCCTTAGTTCACATTCTAGCTATACCACCCCTTCCCTATCAAACCCTACCCCCGACTCAGGAACTAAGACATGAAACAGTAAACACCAAGACACTGGTATATAATTAACTCTTCTGAATGCCCTTGCTACCTCCTATGACAATTCTCGGCTGAGCATAAGGGTGAGGAGGGTAGCAGGAATATGACACACTGCGGAGGTCAGCCAGAACTAAGATAGAGGTTGCCCACTATGGCTAGAAATTAGGAAGGGAAAGGCCAAATGCATACAGCCCTAGCCTCCAAATCAGTGACCAATGGCACTGGGACAAAAGCAGACAGAGGAAGCCTGAGGTAGAAAGGCAGGGGAAGAAATCAAGTACGGGGTGAGAAGAGAACTGTGGAATGGAAGCAGACCATCTTTGGGCAGAGGGAAACTGGTGCTTAGAAGCTTGCTTGGTGAGAGAATGGTGAATAGAGGAGGCACAGAGACAGAGAACAAACATTTAGCTGGTGAGAAAAACTAAGAGGAATGGGAAAGAGATATGGCAAAAAGAGAAGGGACACATTCAGCAGATCCTCAAACATGAATACACAGACATACCTACATGTAGAATTATACTCAGTTACACATATAAAAGACACATGGATCCATAGATAGCAGGCATACACACAGACATAAACATGTTTATACACATGTACCACATAAGCCCAGATACACATACTGTGAAGGTTAATTATAGGTGCCAACTTGGTTAGATGAAGGAATGCTGAGAAACCTGGTAAAACTATCTTTTTAGGTGTGTCCATGAGGGTGTTTCCAGCAGAGATTAATATGAGAGTCTGAGTGGACTGGGTGGGAAAGACCCACCCTCAATGTGGGTGGGAACCATCCAATCCATTGGGGGTCTGGAGAGAACAAAAGACAGAGGAAAAAGGTGAATCTCTTGATCCACTGGAGCCGGGACACACTTTTCTCTCCTGTCCATGGACATCAGAGCTCAAGACTCTTCAGCTTTTGGGTTCCAAGACTTACACCAAAGACACCATCAGCTTTCCCTGGTTTTGAGGCCTTTGGACTTGGACTGAGCCACGCTACCGGCATCCAGTTTATAGATGGCCTATCATGGGACTTTTCTTCACAGTCGCATGAGCTAATTCCCCTAATAAACCCCTCTCATATAATTATAACATATCCTATTGATTCTGTCTCTCTAGAGAATCCTGACTAATACAGATTTTGGTAGCAGGGGTGGTTCTAGAGAAACAGAATCTTAAGGATGAATTTCTCCAATTGGTTTCAGGGCTTTAGGCCTAAAAATGCTAACAGCTCAACTTCTAATAATAGGGAGAGCACCGATAGTCCTTGGTGTGAACTGTTTAGAGATATGCAAAATAAATCCATTTGATGGTCCTGATTCACTACTTGTAAAAGGCCAGGGATTCAGTGACTCTGTACAGAAAACTTTTGAGTATTTGTGGATATCCAAGGACTATAATGACTTTGCTTGGAAGGAGAAATGGCCAGATGTGTGATTGTATACTGATTCATGGGCTGTAGCCAATGTTTTGGCCAGACGGTCAGGGACATGGAGGGAACATGATTGGAAAATTGGTGAGAAAGAAAGTTGGGGAAGACATATGTGGATGGACCGCTCTGAATGGACAAATGATGTGAAGATATTTGTTTCCCATGTGAATGCCCATCAAGAGGTGACCTCAGCAGAGGAGGACTTTAATAATCAGGTGGACAGGATGGCCTGTTCTGTGGATACTAGTCAGCCTCTTTCTCCAGCCACCTGTGTCATCGCCCAGTGGGCTCATAAGCAATGTGGCCATGGTGGCAGGGATGGAGATTAGACATGGGCTCAGCAACATGGACTTCCGCTCACCAAGGCTGATCTGGCTACAGCAACCACTGAGTGCCCAATCTGCCAGCAGCAGAGGCCAACACTGAGCCCCCGATATGGCACCATTCCCCGGGGTAATCAGCCAGCTACCTAGTGGCAGGTTGATTACATTGGACCACTTCCATCACGGAAGGGGCAGCTTTTTGTCCTTACTGGAATAGACACTTACTCTGGATATGGATTTGCCTTCGTAGCACAAAATGCTTCTGCAAAAACTACCATCCGTGGACTCACGGAATGCCTTATTCACCGTCATTCCACACAGCATTGCTTCTGACCAAGGAACTCACTTCACAGCTAAGGAAGTACGGCAATGGGCTCATGCTCATGGAATTCACTGGTCTTACCATGTTCCCCATCATCCTGAAGCAGCCGGTCTGACAGAACGGTGGAATGGCCTTTTGAAGTCACAGTTACAGCACCAGCTAGGTGACAATACCTTGCAGAGCTTGGGCAAAGTTCTCCAGAAGGCTGTATATGCTTTAAATCAGTGCCCAATATATGGTACTATCTCTCCTATAGTTGATTCACGGGTCCAGGAATCAAGGGGTGGAAATAGAAGTGGCACCACTCACCATTACCCCCAGGGACCCTTTAGCAAAATTTTTGCTTCCTGTCCCCGCAACTTTATGCTCTGCTGGCCTAGAGGTCTTGGTTCCAGAGGGAGGAATGCTTCTATCAGGAGATACAAAAATGATCTCATTGAACTGGAAGTTAAGGCTGCCACCTGCCCACTTTGGGCTCTTCATGCCTCTGAGTCAACAGCCTAAGAAAGGAGTTACTGTGTTGGCTGGGGTGATTGACCCAGACCACCAAGGGGAAGTTGTACTACTACCTCACAATGGAGGTAAGGAAGATTATATCTGGAATACAGGAGATCCCTTAGGACATCTCTTAGTACTACCATGCCCTGTGATTAAGGTCAATGGAAAATGACAACAAACAAATCCAGGCAAGACTACAAATGGCCCAGATTCTTCAGGGATGAAGGTTTGGGTCACTTCACCGGGTGAAGAACCACAACCAGCTGAGGTGCTCACTGAAGGCAAAGGGAGTACAGAATGGGTAGTAGAAGAAGGAAGCTATAAATACCAGCTTCGACCTCGTGACCAGTTACAGACACGAGGATTTTAATTGTTCTCCCTGCGGTGTTAAGAATATGTTTATGTATATATACTGTACACATATTAATCAATTATCTTTGTTTTTGTTCCTCTTGTTCTTTATCATGTACCACGAGACTTACTGACTTTATACCAACACTTAAATATTGTTTACCTTACCTCATAGTATGTGCAATTTTAAGTTATGGGATGTTGGGAGAAGGGTAAATATCATCTAAGGACTTTATCTTTTCTTCTTGGAAAGGGATTAATGTGTTTCCAGTTGTACGCAGGATAGTGTATCATGTTAGGTGAAACTTATGTTATTGTACCACTTGAAAATTAACTGTGATTTAAGGACATAGTGGGGACACCAAGTTGATAACGGGTGAACTTGTCAAGGTTAATTCTAGATGTCTACTTGGTTAGATAAAGGAAGGAATGCTGAGAAACCTGGTAAAACTATCTTTCTAGGTGTGTCCATGAGGGTATTTCCAGCAGAGATTAGTATGAGAGTCTGAGTGGACTGGGTGGGAAAGACCCACCCTCAATGTGGGTGGGAACCATCCAATCCACTGGGGGTCTGGAGAGAACAAGACAGAGGAAAAAGGTGAATCTATCTCTTCTGGGATAAACTCTTCTCTTCTGTCTGTGGACATCAGAGCTCAAGACTCTTCAGCTTTTGGGTTCCAGGACTTACACCAAGGACACCATCAGCTTCCCTGGTTTTGAGGCCTTTGGACTTGGACTGAGCCATGCTACGGGCATCCAGTTTATAGACGGCCTTTCATGGGACTTTTCTTCACACGAATTAGCGTGAGCTAATTCCCCTAACAAATCCCTCTCATATAATTATAATGTATCCTATTGATTCTGTCTCTCTGGACAACCCTGACTACACATTCCCCTAATAAATCCCTCTCATATAATTATAATGTATCCTATTGATTCTGTCTCTCTGGACAACCCTGACTACATATACCCACTAAACATGCATAGACAAATATGAGTGCACTTACACATAGATATGCATTCTCACATATACGCAAATGTATATACCCTCACATAGAAACCTACAGTCCAGCACACACATGTATTCCCACATGTACACAACTGACACAGATACACATAAATATATGTGCACATACCAACAGGAATGCACAGATATATCTATACACTTAGACACATATAGTCATACAGATCTACACACACATACATAATTAGAAATGAAACCAGACACTCTCTAACACAAAGGTGACCAGAGCAGATGATGATTATGAGCTCAGTGGCTTCCCAGAGCTTCATCTTCTCCCTGCACTTGTTCCTCAGGTGCTCAGCAGGCCTCCTGGAGAGGCTGTGTGAGGCAGGAGCAGGAGTGTCAGTGTCCTCACAACTTCATGAGGCCTGGCCTCTGCCCCTCACCTACCACTAGGCTATAGAGGCCCTGTCTGCAGGCTGGGGTTTCTGCATAGACTAGACCTGGGATTTACTCTAACTGGCGATTTTTCTCCCTGCCACCCGCACTCTTCCACTGCCAACAGCATACACTCTGCAAGGGAAACCTGAGAAATGGTTGTGAGTCTCCTCAGAAAACAAGCCCATCCTCCCACTCACGGCTACTTCAAGTGCCCATCAAATCAGAACCAGAATTATAAATAGTTACAACTTTACAATAATTGGCAACACATATACTATTTACAGTACCATAAATGCTTCTGTTTCTCTGGTTAAACAATCCCTGAGAAGGAACAGTATTCTGTGTTTGCCAAGGGAGCCAATGCCCAGAACACGCAAGATAAAGGGGCATGAGGTGGCATGTTGTGGGGTTTCTGATTAATCTGCAGTGCCCAGCTCCTCCAGGAACAATGGGCTATAGTGAGAAGCTTGCCAAGGCAGGCATGTTGGCTAGAGTTGGACTCTCCCTATCCTTAGCCCTGTGGTCCTTTGGCTTCAGCCACAGGTGCTCAGAGTCCTCTAAGAGTATTCAAATGTTTCAGTGTCCCTGGCATGACCTGATGGTACCTGAGAGCCCAGGCTGCCCTGGTGGTGAGCTGTCTGCTTTCTCAGCCGAAGTGCTCTCGCACCAGCAGCATCAGCTTCTTCTTGCCTTTGTAAATTTGTTTGAGGTTGTCGATGAACTGGGCAAATTGCAGGTGGCCATCCTGGGGCAGCAGGAAGGTCTCCCGAGCCTTGCTCAGAAACTCAATGAACTCTCCATAGTGGCGGGGGCTGATGTGTGTCAGGCGTGAGTGAGTAGTGTTGATATAGGCATTGATGGTGGCATCCAGTAGCTGGCGCAGTGGCGCTTTGTCAGTGGACATAAGCTTTCCAGAGCTGCGGCGGCCTGGGATGCCAGCCAGGCCAGGTGCAGTCACTGTGCAGCGCCGCAGGATGTCTGAAAGCACCGTGGCACAGTGCACACTCTTCACCACCAGGGGGATGAGCGCCGCCAGCTCATTCTTGCCCAGAGAGTGGCTGAGGGCACAGGCCCAAAGCACATCATTGATGGCTGGATGGGTGTCCTGGTTGTAGGCTAGGTTAAGATGGCTCATGGCCAGTGAGGCCAGCTTGAAGGCACGTAGCGGGTAGCCACGGAGCTCCATGTAGCGGGCGATGGTGAACAGCTGTGAATGGGTCATGCCACCAGCGGCAGCATCAATGGCAATCTGGTAGGCAGCCTCAAAGGCGATGTGATCCTTCTCACAGAGTGTAAGGGCTGACAGGGCACAGCTCTGCGGATCCTTCATAGCACACTGCAGTGCTAGTGTGCGAGCACAGCTGGCCAGTTCCTCCCGCTGTGGATAGTCAAGACTGAGGCGCAGGATAGTGGTGTGGGATACGGCTGTGGCAGCTACAATACTCGTAGCCTCGGTGGGAGTGAAGAGTGTGTACCAGCTCTGCAAGATGCTCACCAGGGCCCGCACACCTGTCAGGGAGAGCCTGAGCTCAGCCGTGGCCATCCGGGTCCTGATCCAGGTCTGCCCAGATTACCATTTGGGGTCTGAACATGGCCTGCAGAGACGAGTTCTCCCTCCTCCTCAGCAGCCTTGAGATGATCTGAGGCAAACCAGGGCAAGGAGAGGATCCCGGATGGCCAGACCGGGTCTCTTCTCATCTCTTCCTTTCCCAGGTCATAGGGTTGAAGGTCTCTGCAGGTGCTCTTAGCCCCTCACAAGGAAGGAGCAGCAGAACCTGTGGTTTGCCTGCCCCAAGGCAGGATTGCAGATTTGCCTGGGGGTTCTAGCTGAAGTGGGACCTCTCAGGATAGAGTGTTATGATGGGGATTTGGGCTCTAGAAGGGGCCCTGAGCCTCCAAGTTGTCTGGGGTTTTTCAGAAGCCCAGGGACTAAAACACTGGACCCAGTACTTCCCAAGGGAGCACATGAGTATTGGTGGTAAAAATTCATTCTCCTAGACATGTCTCTGATCAGAGCGTCAAAGTGCTACTGACATCAGAAATGGCCAAAGCAGTGAGGGCAGAGCTTGGGCTGGGTGAACAGAGGCCATCTTCTCCTACCAGCAGCCCCAACTTTTCCTACACCATCAGGAATGGAAACATAACAGCTCTAAGGATTCATTCTCCTATCCCAAGAGTAGGGCCTCAAAACTCCTTTCCCCTGGGGGTAGAGGGAGTTGGAGACTCACCCACTTCTGTAGCACAGGTCACCAACCATCGCACCATCTCCCGGCGTCGCCAGTTAAGGGTCGATAAGGTCATACGCATCACCTGGGCACAACGCATTTCCAGTGGGTTAGGCCTAACTGTTGTGACCTCCCCCTCATTTCCCCTTGCCATTCATTTATGCAACAAAATTTTTTTTGTGCTTTAAACAGGGGACTCTCCCTGATAAGTCTAGACAGATTTAGTTTCTACCCCTCCCTTTTCACCAATCAGGAGGCTTTTCTGATGACCTGTAACAAAGTCCTTATTATACCATACCTTGCTTGACTTGGAGGGGTGGAGAGGTCAAGAGAAGATGGCGACCCCATGGAGCCTAAAGCCATTTTGTTTCTGGCCTTAACTTAAAAATGGAGCCCACTTTATGGAGTCCTTACCTTTTGCCTAGCCTAGAACTTGTGTTCTGGGGACACAGAAAAAAACAGACTTGATCTGTGCCCAGTCCCCCAGGGCTCTTATGATCTTTCAGTTGTTGCTAGGCCAGAAGACTAAAGTGGGGATGGCCCACTCCTTCCCCATACCTGTAACCCCAACTCCAGGGCCACGTTGAGCAGGGTGCTGTCCGTACTACTGTCTGTGGGAGTAGCGATCTTGAATGCATCTTGGGCCAGTTTGAAGATGAGGGAGGAAGAATGGATGTGCTTCTGTATTGTTTCCAGAATTGTTCGGAGCCTCAGAGTGTCCCCTATAGGTGCCAAGAGAAGGGGTACGGACAGGTTCTGTTTTAAAGTTTCCCTAAACAGTCAGCTGATCACAACAGGTACTGGTTAAACTGGCTATCAATTCACTGAATGCTTCTGAATGCTACCACCCCTTCTGCGTGGTCAAACTGTCTCCACTGAACCCATTTGAGTCTCCTTCCTTCTCCAGGCTCCCACGTGAATTCATTTCTCTACACCTTTTCATCTGTCTCTACCCTTCACTCTCTGTACCCTCAGGCTCTTTAGGTACCAGAAGTAATTTTCTTGAACACTTGAATTTTGAGAGCTACTTATACAGGAGACAGGAAGCCACATTACTGCCAAAAAAGTATGCCAGTCCCATTCCTTGCCTCTCACCACAGCTCTCTGGAGCAAAAAGGAGCTAGGCCACCACTTCTTATTCAATAGGCAAGGATTCTATACAAAGTATTATTAGCACACAGTAGGAAACACCACCATATGAAGTGAAGGTTGCTGTATAAAGGCAGTATGGATTTTGAAAGACTGGTAATATTATGAAGGGTAAATATGTGAAATAAAGATAAAATGAAAAATAGGTCTTATGTTTTCTTTTTTAACTGTTGATAAAGTCAAAGAGTTGTAGTGGTAAGAGTATAAGCTTTGAAGTAAAGTACATTGGCTAATGGACCTGGTTCAGCCATTTAAAAGCTCAGTTACTCATCTATAAAATGGAAACAGTAAACTTTAGGGTTGTTGTGAGAATTATAAATAATTTGTGTATAGTTAATATTCTATAATTCTATTTTATATAAAAAGATAAATAGCAGTGTGTATATAGTATGTGTGTGTACATATATATGAATAGAAAGTCTCCAGGAATATTTAATACCAATGTCTTACTAGTAGTTATGTTTAGGTGTCAGGATTAGGAGAGAGACTTCCTTTGTTCTTCTATTATCTTGAAAGACAAATTTGCAAGTAGACTTTATGTTTTTAGAGAAGTTTTAGGTTTACAGAAAATTGAGCACATAGTACAGACTTCTCATATATCCACTATTAACATCTTCTATTAGTGTAGTACATTTGATGAACCACTATTAATACATTCTCATTAGTGTGGTACATTTGATGAACCAATATTGATACATTACTATTAACTAAAGTCCATAATTTACATTAGGGATCACTCTTTGTGTTATATAGTTCTATGTTTTTCAACAAATGCATAATGTCATGGATCCACCATTACAATATCATATAGAATAGTTTCACTGCTCTAAAAACCTCCTGTGTTCCACCTTTTCATCCCTTTTCCCATTTTCCCTGTATCCCTGGAAACTATTTATCTTTTTACTGTCATTCTGGAAAAGTTCTGCCTTTTCCAAAATGTCATATAGTTGGAAACATACAGTATGTAGCCTTTTCAGATTAGCTTCTTTCAATATACAGTACACATTTAAGGTTACTCCACATTCTGTGTGTGTGTGTGTCAGGGAGGTTTTCATTGCTTTTCATTGCTAAATAATATTCCATTGTATGGATGTACCACAATTTGTTTATCCATTCACCTTTTGAAGGACATCTTTTTTTTTTTTCCTTTTTGTCTTTTTTCATGACCGGTAACGGGATCGCAGCCCTCGGTGTCACGCCTGCACCACGCTCAACCAGTGAGCAGACTGGTCTCCATATGGGATCCGAACCCTCGGCGGGAGCGCCACCGCGCTCCCAAGCACCGCACTGTACCGAGTGCGCCACCGGGCCGGCCTTTGAAGGACATCTTGGTTGCTTACAATTTGGGGCAATTATGAATAAAGATGCTATTAATATTCATGTGTAGGTTTTTGTGTGTACATAAGTTTTCAAATCATTTGGGTAAACACCTAGGAGCATGCCTGATGGATCATACAGTAAGACTATGTTTAGCTTTGTAAAAAACTGCCAAACTGTCTTCCAATGTGGCTGTAACATTTTGTATTCTCACCAGCAATGAATAAGAGTTCCTGTTGCTCCACATCCTCACTAGCAGCTGGTGTTGTCAGTGTTCTGGATTTTAGCCATTCTAATACTGTGTAGTGGAATCACACTATTTTTTAAATTTGCAATCCTCTAATGACATATGGTGTTGAGCAGCATTTCATATGCTTGTCATTTGTACATCCTCTTTGGTTCAGTGTCTCTTCAGATCTTAAGCCCATTTTAAAATTGGGTTGTTTGTATTCTTATTTTTAGTTTTAAGAGTTCTTTGTATATTTGAGATACAAGCCTTTTATCAGTATGTTTTTCACATACTTTCTCCCAGTCTTTGACTTGCTTTTCACTTTTCTTTCTTTTTGGTGGCTGGCTGGTATGGGGATCTAAATCCTTGACCTTGTATTATTATTATCATGATTATTATTATTTTTAAAAAAGATGACCGGTAAGGGGATCATAACCCTTGACTTGGTGTTGTCAGCACCACGCTCACCCAGTGAGCTAACCGGCCATCCCTACATGGGATCTGAACCCATGGCCTTGGTGTTATCAGCACCGCATTCTCTCAAGTGAGCCATGGGCTGGCCCCTAACCTTTGTATTATAACACTGTGCTCTAACAACTGAGCTAACCAGCTAATCTGTCTTTTCATTTTCTTAAAAGTGTTTTTCACAGTGTTTTAATGAATTCTAACTATCCATTTTTTTTTCTTTCATGGATTGTGCTTTTGGTATTGTATCTCAAAAGTCATAGCCAAATCCAAGGTCACCTAGACCTTCTCCTATGTTATCTTCTAGAAGTTTAATAGTTTTGTGTTTTACCTTTAGGTCTATGATTCATTTTGAGTTAATTTTTATGAAAGGTAAAGGTCAATGTCTATATTCATTTTTTTTACATGTTAAAGTCTAGCTTTTCTAGCACCATTTACTGAAAATACTATCCCTATCGTTTACCCCTTTAAGTATCAGTTGACTATATTTGTGTGATCTATTTCTGAGCTCTCTATACTATTCCATTGATCTATTCATCTGTTCTTTCACCAGTACCACACTGTCTTGATTATTGTAGCTTTACAATAATTGTTTAATTTGGGTAGTGTCAGAACTCTGACTTTGTTGTTCTTCAATATTATATTGACTATTCTATGTCTTTTGCTTTTCCATATAAACTTTAGAGATAATTTGTTGATATTCGCAAAATAACTTGCTAGGATTTTGATTGGGACTGCATTGAATCTACAGATCAAGTAGGGAAGAACTGACATCTTAACAATATTTAGTCTTTCTATCCAGGAACATGAAATATCTCTATTTATTTAGATTTTTTATTTTTTTCAAAGTTTTTTTTTTTTTTTTTTTTTTGTCTTTTTTTACTGACCGGCAATGGGATCACAACCCTTGGTGTTGCACCCGCACCGCGCTCAGCCAGTGAGCGGGAACCAGTCTCCACATGGGATCCAAACCTTCAGCGGGAGCGCCGCTGCGCTCCCAAGCGGCGCACTCTCCAGTGCGCCACCGGGCCGGCCCTCTTTCAAAGTTTTATAGTTTTCCTCACATATATCTTGTACTTTTCTTTTTCTTTTTGGCAGCTGGCTGGTAAGGGGATCTGAACCCATGACCTTGGTGTTATAAGGCCATGCTGTAACCAACTGAGCTAACCGGTCAGTCCCAATCTTGTATATATTTTGTTAGGTTTATTCCTAAGTACTTCATTTTGGGGGATGCTAAGTAAACGGTATTGTGTTTTTAATTTCAAATTCTAATTGTTCTCTCTTGGTATATAGGAAAGCAATTGACTTTTGTGTATTAACCTTGTATACTGAATCCTTGCTATAATCACTTATTAGTTTCATTTTTTCTTGGTTGATTCTTTGGGATTTCCTACAAAGACAATCATGTAATTTGAAAACAGACAGTTTCATTTCTTCCTTTCCAACATGTACACCTTTTATTTCCTTTTGTTGTCTTATTGCATTAGTTAGGACTTCTAGTATAATGCTGAATGGAAGTGTGAGAAGGAACATTCTTGTCTTATTCCTGATCTTTAGGGGAAAGTATCTAGTTTCTCACCACTAAGTATGGTGGCAGCTACAGGTTCTTTGTAGATGTTCATTATCAGGTTGAAGCAGTTCTCTTGTAGTTTGCTGAGAGTTTTCATCATAAATGGGTGTTGGATTTTGTCAAATGCTTTTCCTGCATCTATTGATATAATCGCATGATTATTCTTTGCTTGTGGATGTAATGGATTATGTTAATTGATTTTCAAGTGTTGAGCCAGACTTATATATCTGGAATAAATCCAACTTGGTCATGGCATAATTCTTTCTATACACTGTTGGATTTCATTTGCTAAAATTTGTTGAGGATTTTTGCATTTATGTTAATGAGTCATACTGGTCTGTAGTTTTTCTTTCTTGTAATGTCTTTGTCTGGTTTTGGTATTAGAGTAATGTTGGCCACATAGAAAGAGTAAGAAAATGTTCCCTCTGCTTCTGTTCTCTGGAAGAGACTATAGAGAATTGGTATCATTTCTTTCTTAAATATATGGTAGAAATTACCAGTGAAATCATCTGTGCCTGGTGCTTTCTGTTTTGGAAGATTATTAATTATTTATTCAATTTCTTTAATGAATATGGGCCTATTTACATTATTTAGTTCTCTTTCTGTGAGTTTTGGTAGACTGTGTTTTGTTTTGTTTTTTACCTAAGGAATTGGTCCATCATTTCATCATCTAAGTTATCAAATGTGTGGGCAGAGAGTTATTCATAATATTCCTTTATTATACTTCTAATCTCCATGGGATCAGTGCTGATGACCCCTCTTTCATTTATGATGTTAGTAATTTATGTCTCCTCTCTTTTTTTCTTGGTTAGCCTGGCTAGAGGTTTAACAATTTTATTGATTTTTTTTTTTCAAAGAACCAGCTTTTGCTTTCATTTATTTTTTCTACTATTTTCCCATTTTCAATTTCAGTAATTTCTGCTCTAAATTTTATTTCTTTTCTTCTGCTAGCTTTAGGTTTGTATTCCTCTTCTTTCTCCATTTTCTTGATG